CTCCTCCTCCTCCTCCTCCTCCTTCTCCTCTTCCCTCTTCTTCTTCAGTGAACACAGAAGATTTTACTGTCTTCACAGTAAAACAAAACACGAAAAGTTAAACCTGGATCATGTGGCCCTTTCTTTTCTTATCCCCTCCCAGTTCAAAATGCTTGCAGGTCTCTTAAGAGCCGGCCTTCTCTTCGATCTGCAGTTGGGTTCCACACGCAGCAGCCTCAGGACCGTCTTCTGTGCAGGGTTAGCCTTCTTTGGGGGACTGGCTGAGTCTGTCCACCTAGCCACTGTGCTTCCCGTCCTAACGCCGCTTTCCCTGGGCATGGAGGGAAGCCTTGTCGTTCTTGTACTGGGTCACTTTGTGGGACTGACGCCCGCTACACTTCTTACAGGAAGTTCGCTGGGGTTTGGAACATTTACCATGCTTGTAGGCACGCTCCCTGCCTGTCTTCTTGAATTAATTCAAATGTTTATGTGTATTCTCTTTGAAGTCATTCGGAGGCCTGCCCAGGAGCTCAGTTGTTTAAGTGCCTGCTTAAGCAAAGCCCTCAAACTCCAGCTTCTTTGGTTCGAACCCAGACAGTTACTGAAAACCAGAAATGCCCTAAAAGCATTTGAGCCTCCAAAAAAAAAAAAAAACCAAACCCTTCTTTGAAGTCATTGATCATTTTAAAGACGAGTCTTTTGGATTCTTAAGTCTTGCCTTCCATCCATTTCGAGGTCTCTGCGTTCCATTACTGATAAGTTGTGGGTGTTTGGAGGACTTGTGGTGCCTGTTTCTTTGTACGCCTGTATTTTGCTGTTGTGGTTTGTGCTTCTGTTGGGTGGATAACTCTTCTGCTTTGTGTGAGAATCTTTTTAGGGACCCCCTTCCTTGGAGGCCTTGATCTCCAGGACCAGCCAGAGCGGAGAAAACAAGCTGCAGTAACAGTGATGATTCAATGACGAGCGACACATTGAGACACAAATAAAATCAGCTGAGAGCAACAACTCTGTCCCTGTTAGTCTCAGAAAAGAAGGGGCAGCACTAATATAAGCATAAACTAAAACACTAAAAGTGAAGAAAGGGGCCGGGTGTGGTGGTGGTGGTGGTGGGGAAAAGAGTAAGAAACAAAAAATCCAAATGACAAAGGAAATGAAATTAGATAAAAGAGGAAGAAGCAACAAATAGAAAGTAAATGAGTAAACACTTCCTCCATGCTGAGTTTCTTTCCCTAACCTGTAATCTCGGAATTCCCAGCTAGGGGGTCACTGAAGAGTCACCCCTGGGCCTTCCTGTTCCTGTCCTCGGCCTCCGAGGACCGCCTGTGCCCGTGAAGGCTGGCCCTGCCTCTCCCTCGGGCCTCTCCCCTGGGCCAGCCAGGTCGGTGGTATGTCGTTGCCTCAGGACTGTGTTCCCTCCACACCTGCTGGTCCAACCCCAGCCTCTGCTCTCCTGAGCTTCTCTGCGGCCTGGGTGCTCCTAAGCTGCCTGCTCGCTCTCGGGGGCCACGGGCCCTGTCCCTACATAGGGCGGATGTCCAAGCGGAGGTGTACCCTACACAAATTGCAGAGAGGGGACAGCAAGCAGACCACTAGCTCTGTGCTGGAAGATGTCAGAGACTGGAGCCAAGCAGTCCCCAGCTCATCCGGGCCCCGTCAGGTCCAACCTCTCAGAGACCCACACGGGGCCGGCCTCAGCCTTGCCTGAGGTGCTGTTCGCACCTGCCCTCTGCCTCCTGAGCACCACTGGCCGCCTTCCCAGAAGCTCTGCAGCCAGCCCTGCCCTCCCAAGGCTGTTGCACTCTGCCACCGGGTGCAGAGGGCTTGCTCCGGGGCTGCTGGGGCCTGGAGTGGCTGAGCCCAGCATCAAGCCCCCGCAGCTCTGCTCTCCACCCCCTGTCATGTAGAGGCTGCTGTGGATTGCTCCTAAGAGCCAGCCTTGGCTCCCAGCCCCTCTGTGCCTCAGAGAAGTAGCACAAGCACTTCCCACCTTTCTCTGCTATCAGGCTCGACCCCGCGGAGCAGCCCAGACCACTAGGACAGGCAGGATTGAAGCCAACTGTGGTGTCTTTATTTCTTCATTTCAGGCTGGTGCAACCTGGTCAAAGGTGAGAAGGCCATTGACTGTGAACAAGGAAGGGAGTCTACTGTATAAACTAACTTAGGACTGGGAGGGGACATCGTAGGTCATGGGTGGGTCTGGTTCCTCCTTGAGGGCAGGAAAGCGCAGGATGACACTGGTGTTCTGCTGATTTATGGCATTACATTCTGTAGGTTTACAGGGTTTCCTGGATCTGGGCCTGGGAGCCGTCCTGATAAACAGATTTATTTGAGTCTCTGAGGACGGGGGGATACTACCTGCTTGAACAGAGTGGTGGTCTGTAGTTTTTCCTCTTCAGGTTGGGAGGGGTCTACTTGTGAGGACCTACCATCTATGTTGCCTGTTCCTTGTGTGTTCTAGCTTTCCAGTCATATTGCTTGATTCCTAATGCTATTCTGACCCTCGATCTCCCCACTCACAGTTAGGCAAAGGGCACTTCTACTGTGGGTGCTGGGGATGGGACCCGGGGCTTTGTACTGATCTGGATCATTCCCAGGCCTTCTTATTTTTCATTTTGAGCCAGGGTCTTGCTAAGTCACTGTGTTACCCAGGATAGGCCTGAACTTGGTAGGACCTAGCTGTCCTGCCAATTCACAGTCTTCTACACCCCCCTCGCCACTCACACATCAAGGGGATGGTTGTACCCCAGAAAGGAAAGGTGGTCTATGCTCCTGCCTCTGAATATGGCTGAAGGATTCTGTTGTTAAGAAGACTCAGGGGGCTAGGTGTATGAGGTGGGGTCCTATCATAGTGTCCTATAGTCCTGACCCTTCTTCTTTTACCAGTCCCTGATGATGCTGTGAGGAGCCTGGAGCCTTGGGCTGTAGCACCACCCTTTAGCTCCATTATTCTGGGTTTGACAACTCCAATGGGCCCCAGTCATCCGTCTGCACCTATGGGGTCTCCTGGGTCTAGGGGTCAGCACCAGCCCCCCACTACAGACAAGCACTGGCTGATAGGGCTGAGAGGGATAGTCATGTTGTACCAGTGCCCTCACCGAGGCACTGGTGTGACAGGGCTGTTCTGGTCGCAGCCATCCTGGGATGGGAGAAAGGAAAAAATAGAGGGTCTCTGAGAGATGGCTAGGGATGAAGAGAGCCATGGGACCCCACCAGTCCTCAGCAGAGTTTGGATGGTATGTTCTGCCACCGGAAGTTGTCATTCTTTTTTTTTTTTTTTTTTTGTGGAACTGGGGGTTGAACTCAGGTCCTTGTGCTTGCCAGGAAAGGTCTTATTCCACTGAGCCATGTCCTCGGCCCCAAGTTGTCATTCTTTAGCAAGCAGGGTTTTCCAAACCATGGAGCTCTCTCTTACGTTCCTGAGAAATGCTCCATCTGGGGTCAGGAAGGAGAACTGCTCTGCCTGCCAGGGACTTACCCACCCAATGGGCTCTGGTCTGCAGCTGGTTCCACTGAGTCAGAGGAGCCCAGGGGGCTTGGCTCTTGGCCCAAAGTGATGGTCCTGGGTATCAGCGGAATCTGAATTACTGGAGAGTAGCTTCACTGTGGATAGCTGGGCACTGGATGCCTCTCACCGGGGCCTTCTTGGCCAAGCAGACGCAAGTACAGCTGTGCTACGGACATGGTGCATCTAGGAACGGGCACGGGAGAGGCAGGAGCGAGGGTGGGCTCTTGGGCCAGGGGCGAATGGGCTGTCTCGTGGTGCCCCAGTCTCAGGTCAAAAACTGCAGGACACAGAGACCAGGGGCTCCTGTGGGCTGCAGCAGGAGGGGATAAATGTCTGTTGGGAAAGAATAGGAAGGTGGTGGGAGAGACCTGGGGACCAGGGAGAGCTTGGGCAACCCTGGTCTCCACTAGGCCTTGAGTTTCTAGGTTTTGTGCCTGCTCACCCGCCAGGGCCCTGGATGGGAGGGCTACTCGGCTTTGCTGGCAGGAGGAGGTTCTCTGAGGACATCCGCACTTACACTCTGCCTTCGCCTCTCAGCTCCCAACTCGGTCACACATCTGCAAAACACAAGTGAGACCAACACCTCAGTCTCCCTGACCTGGGAGGCCCCTGAAGACCCCCACTCACACCTCTACACATATCAGATCCAATGGGGCAGCGAGGCACATCCCCCTGAAGCTGGGGCCAACTGGACGGGAAGGAGCAAGGAGACGCGGTATGTGGTGACGGCCCTCAGGCCTGGCACTCTGTACACCTTCAGAGTGTGCGCTGAGAGGAATGAGGTGGCCAGCCACATGCAGAGCCTCCACGCATCCACAGGTGAGAGGCCCACCTCCCTCTACTTGGCCAACCAGGCCTCCCGGGTGGACTACAAATCCCATCAGGCCATGGGGCTGGGGATTCACCCCTGCCTTGACACTGATCCCCATAGTCCTGGGGCTTACCCTGTGAGGATCCTTGTCCTTCTGGGGGAAGCAACATGAGGGAAGAAGAGGATCCTTTCTTTGGGTGGACCGGTGGGGCCAGAGCTCCTGCTGACTCCTCTGTCCCCACCCCCAGCTCCAGACTCCGTCACCATTGCCTCCTGTGTCAGCGCCTCGGGGGGCTATGGGCTCATCCTGAACTGGCCCTGCCCCACGGGGGGGTATGATGGTTTTGAGCTGAAGGTGGGCGGGCAGCAGGGCTCCCAGCACAGATCTGAATGCGGGACCCGTGTGCTCCTGTCGGGCCTTGGGCCGGCCCGGTCCTACACAGTCACCGTCACAACCATTTGGAGCGGACTGAGGGCCGTGTCTGTCCCGGCGACCTGCTACACTGACAGTGCAGGTAAGCAAAGCCCAGGGCAGGGCGGGGCAGAGGGAGAGCCGGCCTCTGTGGGAGGGAGCCCCTGGGGGCCCTTGGGTCTGCCCTGTGACAGCTTTCCGAGACGTCATACATGGTGCACACATTTAGCACTATCGGTGGCCAGGCACAGCGGCTAAGTCAGATTGGTGATGCACCCATGTTAGTGGTGCAATCCAGGGATGACTAGGACAGTCACAGCATGGTGCAGCCACCACCTCTGTCAATTTCAGAGCATTCCTTTACTCCAGAAAGAAAATGCTCTCCCTTTCGCCATCACTCTCTAATTCCCCCTTCTCAGCCCCCTGCCCTGGACAGCCTTTAATTTCATGAGTAAGTACTTCCTTCCTTTTTACTGCAGAGTAATCTTCCTTTGCATGGACATACCACATTTATTTATCCCTCATTGGTTAACAGATTTGGGGCTGTTATGGATTAATGCTGATATGAACACTTGGGTACAAGTTTTTGCGTGAACATATGTCTTTATTTTTCTTGGGCGTACACCCAGGAGTAGAATTGCTGGGCCATATGGTAACTCTGACTGCTTCGCTGCCAGTTTATACTGGATGTGGCCACGACACTTATGAAGTGTACTTGAAGAGATTTAGAGCTTTACTTTGGAGAGGTCTGACTGCGTATCTCGGCTGTAGACTCTCACTTGGCCCCATTTACGCCTTCCCGGGAAGCAGAGCCTCTTGGAACATTGGGTCTTCAGGGTGCAGAGACTGGGGAGGCTGTGGCCAGGATGAGCGGGGGCTCCCCACTGCGCCTTGCCAGGCCCGTCTCTCGGCCACAGGTCCCCAAGGGGGCCCTCTGCTCATCCAGTGGCATAGGGCATGGCCAGGCACTGCTGAGGCCTGCTGAGCGACAGCCTCCCTGAGCAGCCCTGGCCTCCGAGGCTGATGGAGCTGGTCACGGGTCCCATGAGTCCACCCTGCGGCAGGGTGGGGGGCCACCGTCCAGGCCAGGGAAGGGGCGCTTCAGCAGCCCTCACTTAGACCAGGCTCGAGGACTGGCTGAGGGAAAGTAGGGGAGACGGGGCTTTGTCCAGAGGATTTCCTGTCCCCCTCTGGCCTTTAATGTGCAGAACTGGTGAGGCTGGGCATGGGAGGTCAGCAGACCAGGCCTGGCCCCTAAGGCGCCCCGGCCCCTCCCCAGGCGTCATTGCCGGAGCTGTTGTGGGTGTCCTCCTGCTCCTCCTCCTTGTGGGCCTGGTGGTTTTGTTCCTGAAGAAGAGGTGAGACTCCGTGTGGTGTGGGGCTTGTGGCTGAGAGGGTGCAGGCCTGCAAGGAAGCCTGCGGTCTGCGCCTCACCTCCGGCTGTCCTTCCCAGGAAAAGGAAGCAGCAGAAGCAGGAAGCACCGCAGGACCTGGCGCTCAGGTGAACAGAGCCCTGGGGACCTTAAGACAGTCCTGTCGGGCAGTCCATGTGCTTGCTGGTCTCGGGGACAGGGTGGGGGGCGGGACCAGAGCTCACGTGCCCTGGGCTGGTGCGGACTCAGTTCCTGCCTCGGCCAGGGCTTCCACTCACTCACTCACTCACTCACTCACTCACTCATTCATTCATTCATCTGCTATCAACTGAGCACTAAAGTCTATCAGGTACTCTCTTAGGAAACAGCAGGATGAAGATTCTAGCCCTCGTGAAGCTTACGTTCTGGTACAAGAACTCATTATTAAACAAAATAACATGAATTCGGAGGTATCTTTGGAGACAAAGCAAGACCCGAGACTTGAGAGGTGGAGGACCATCATAGCAGGGTCCTATGATCCCAGCATTGCGAGGCTGGGGGGATTGGTTTCAAGTTTGAAAGCCTAGCCTACAGAGCAAGTTTGAAGCCAGCCTGAGCTACGTCATAAGACCCTGTCTCACAAAAATCAATCATCAGTAAGATTAGAGTCCTAAGATGTCACCTGACCCTGAGGCTGTGGAGAGTCCAAATGCCATGGGGAGGGCATTGTCGGAAATGGTCAGCCATGCAAAGGCCCTGGCACAGCCAGGAGGGTGCTGGGGCACTGGGCACTCTGTGCATCTTGGAGGAAGAGCAGAGTGAGGGCCGAGGCTGTCAGGAGCCTGAGGGGCCTCCGGGGTGGGCAGGTCAAGCAGAGCCTGCGGTGGAGCGAGGGGTGAGTGTGAGTTTATCCTGACAGAAACTTGGGAAGTTCGGGGAGACCAGTGATGCTGCCCAACGTGGTGAAGAAGTAGAGAAAGATACGGGGGACCCGAGGAGAGCTTGGCCATGCCCAGCTGAGGGCTAATTACATCTTGGACTGGAGACTGGAGATGGTGCACATGGCTGGATTTCGGGAAGGTTCTGCTGGAGGGTTGGGAGTGCAAGCTAGACTCGACTCTGTGGTCTAGCAGGCTTGGGGCAAGAGTTGTTGAGCTGAGGCTCCTCAGTGGCTTGGCTAACATGCCTGTTAAGTGGACGATGGGGATAGAGGAGCCCAGGGCGAGGCGTGGGCCCCGCAGGGGAGCTAAAGACCGAGGCCAGGGCTTTGGACACAGATGTGCACCAGAACAGTGCGGGTGTGTGCACAGGTGAGGTCCTGCTTCTTCACCGCAGCACCTGTCCTCCAGGGGTCCCTGAGCAAAGAGGACCACCTCACCCTGGGCACAGGCCATTGCATTGTTGACCCCACCTCTGGCCCTATTGTATGTTAAGTATTTGCTACCAGCAACTTCAATATGTATGTTTGAGCCTGTGTGGTGGTGGCATATGCCTGTAATCCCAGAACTCAGGAAGCTGAGGCAGGAGGATCTCCAGGAACTGGAGGCCAGCCTGGCCTACATTGTGAGTTCAAGGTCAGCGAGACCCTGTCTCAAAAAGATTAACAAAAAACCAAGTTTAGAGTAAAGGCCATTGGTACAATCCCTAGTTCCCTCTCGGAGAAAACTGGGTATCAGTTTCAGGACCTCCCAGAACACTTAGGACTCAGGTGAGAAAAAAGCTGCAAAGTTCAGTAGAAATGGAAGTAGGAACTAGTAGTGGAGATTCTGCCCAGGATCACTGTGTGGATGGAGAAAGCGAAGCTACAGCCGAAGCTAGAGGCCTAGGAGATAAGCTCAGCAGTTGGGAGGCTGAGGCAGGAGGATCACCGTGAGTTGGGGGGGGGCTACCAGGGAATGATGGTTGGTCTTGGTGAAGCCTGCCCCAAAAGGCCAGGCGGGGAAGCCCGGGGCGGGTGCAGCTGCAGGTGGAGGGAGGGTCGGAGCTGTGGGCGGAGCTCCGCTGGGTTTCTGTGGAGCAAACGTGGGGCAGGTGCACGGGCTTGGGAGGGTGGCTAGGACTCAGGGAGCTTGGCACCTGGCCAGGGCACCAGCTTGTCCAAGGGGAGGGAGTGCCGCAGCCCTGTGAGCTAAAGGCAGAGGGGGAGGGGAGAGCGTCTTTTAAATTACACCTGAATGTGACGTCACACGCCTTCAATCCCAACTGCTCCGGAGGCTGAGGCAGGAGAACCGCAAGCTCAAGCCCAGCCCCAGAGCCATTTTAGAGTTTGCCACACAGCAGGTGACGTACAGCGAGGTGCAGCCATCGCTACCATCTCCAGGAGTTCTCATCTTGCAAAACTCGGTGTCCATCACATAATACCCTCGCCCCTAGCACCGCCATTTCCCCTCTGTCTCTCGAACTTGACTCCCAGACATTCCTCAGATAAGTGGAGTCATATCCTCTTGCGTACGTGTGTGTGCGCGCCCGCGGACCAGCTTCGGTCCCTTAGCCCAGCGGTGGGGCATGTGCCGGCATTCCCTTCCTTCTGTGGCTGAATGCTAGTACGCTGTGGATCCATTCATCTGCGAATGGAATCTGTTTTGCCTCTTTCTTTTCCTTTTCCTCGCTGCTCAGCTCTCTCTGGTTGCTTTCGGGTGTACCATGAAGGGGCCCTGTCCATCAGAATCACCTTTTCGATCACCCAAGAGCACAGGAAGAATGTCCTCTCCCTTCTCCCCCACAGCTTTCCCGGGGACATCCTGGCCAAAAACTTCGCTGACCACGTCAGACGAAACGAGAAGGACAGCAACCGCGGCTTTGCCGACGAGTACCAGGTGGGCGCCCCCTCCGGGGTTCCTTCTTACCCCAGTCTTCCCCACATGCGGCCTCCTGGCTCCTCCGGTCTCGGGGCTGCTGGGGCCGCCCCAAACCCCTGCTGTCCCACTGTCCCCAAGCCCCCCC